AATCAAACATGGGTATCCTGTATGTAAGGTAGACTAGTACATTACGTTACATCGATAGTGTTGCAGTTAGAAGCTTATAAGAATATGTACTTCATTTATAATCGATCAGACATACTTCGGTTAGCAAAAATGATTGCAGTAGTATTAGAAAACATTATTTATGCGAAATTTCGAATGAAATACATCATTTACGATCTTAAATCGTTGTCAGATGGTTACTCTGTCGTAATTTCTCTTTAGATATGAATGATTTAGAATATTCAGTTAAGGATAATAATTTTGATGGATTATGCTGACCATGAGGCATATATATATATGGCATGGCATCTAGATCAGTTCATGTTCGGGAAGACTGCTAGTCAAATAAAAACGGCTAAAGAATAGATGAAAAGATTTTTATCTTGAAATATATGCATATATTTAATACAAAAAAAAGGAGTGTGATATTTTCTATTTATAATCAGTTTGTTCTTTTTTTTATTTATGTCAGAACAATTCCAACAAAGAAAAAGTAAAATTCAAAGGTTTTCTCACTAATAACGCAGTAGAATTGAAAATACTAGCAAGTTCTATGATGAAAATAAGATTGACATACATATATCAATAGGTAGCGATTGTAAAACTGAAAAGAAAACACGAGAGAGAAGAACAGTCCAAGTCTTCTATAAATATCTATTTATCTAGAAGAGCACTAATAAAAATTTTAAGCAAACCGCTTACTTTCGTGTTGTTGAGAACTGTGTCATGATATAATCGGATTCTGTCATGAATGAATGAATGAATTAAATGAAGACATTCAAGAAAGTGATAACATAACTTTGATATATAATGCATTCATGTAAAATATTTACTAATTTCAGTAAATGTCTTGATTTCACTATGTATATTCCAAACGAAAAATTTATCTTTTAGCGTTTCGAGATCACCTGCTGAAGAATTTGTTTTAATGATTGAAGATAAAACTGAAATTAATTCAATCTATACATTATATAATAAGAAAATAATGCATAGACCATACCAAACTAAATATCGTAAAGCAAAGAAATTCTTTTTCATATTCGAAGTTATTTGTGTTGTACTTAAATGAGATGTTTATCTATTGGAAATTGATTTAATACCGATCAGCATCTTCTCAACAACAGTTTCTATCGATATGAAAAAGTTTAAATAAACATTTATATGTTCACAATTACTTCAAAAAATCCTACTTGATTCGCATCATGATGAAAATTTCTAAAACAGCATACGTTCATTTCTGTCGACAAAAATTATATTAATAATCAAAAATGGGCTTGAAGAAAAATATGATCAACTATCATTTATTTGATGATTTACATGAGGCTGTTAAATATTTCATGTAAGATAAATGTTCGACATCTTTATTAATAAAGTGAACCGTTACATTTTGAATTAATGAATACTAATTCATTTGTTGCCTATTGAGAACTAGCAATATGAAATGGTGAATTTGAAAAAAATGAAAAGAAATAAACGATGTTTATTTTCATTCAATAGTTTCTTATTGACTAGCACTTAACTTGCTCACTATAGGCGAAAAGCAACTCGAAGACCAACATGATTATATTGATTAGATACATTGATGATTAAAATGAGTGAATTCAATAAAGTAGAAGAAATTTTTAAAACATTATTAAAAATAAACTTCGAATAATGGTTGTCAACAACTTACTATTATATGTCGAAATACTGAGGAGATATGAATGTATACATGAAATTCATCTGAAATATCTTCCATCGGGTCATCCATCGTTAATTACTTCTATGCATTGCAAAACAGAAAGTGAGTTACGATAACTTGAATAACTTACGGACACGAAGTGATATTACGAAGCGATTTTTGTCGGCTTGTAGTCAGGTCTAGGGTACAGCGAACTGTTGCAGAAAAGCTTTTTTCCATCGAATTTCTAGGAGACCTTCAAAAGCATATTTAGAAAAATATTACGGCTTTCAGGAGTTTCATATTGAACTTTATAAGTTTTAAAACATATATTTGATTGGGAACATTGTTCTATTTTGAGCTATTCAAATCCGGGTTTTCTGACTTGTATTGTTCGAGACTTATAAAGGCTTTCCAGAGACTTCGAGTGTCAGCTAGATGGTTCTTGACTACATAAAAACTAAGTCAAGAGAGAAATAATTGATGATACTGAGTTCAATAGTAATGTTTGTTTTCGGTTGAAAACGATATACAATTATTGTATTCAGGTTTTCGTAATGCTAAATTTTCCAGCTAGACAACGCAACGGAGGAAAAGCTGATTCTGCGGCATTAGGATCACATGGAATCATTGCAATCATCTATTTTTCCTCCGATAATTCCCTGAGCACATTTCAAATCAGTTTTTGTTTTTATTTGAGTGATACAGAAGATCGTTTTTCCCAGTCAACATAGTCAATATTAGGGCTGAGAAATTTCCGTTACGTTACCAATTAGTCATTATTAGGCAACGGAGAATTTGTAAGCTTGTCAAGGCTATTTTTCAAAATAAGTGATGCTTTATAAAGTCTTATCAAAGATTGTTGGTGTTGAGGAATCCGAATCAATAATCGAATTCTTGCAATTGTATACTAGATTTCTTGACGCGACAAAGGCTGTGTTAGAACACGTGACCGAAAAGTCAAATACACAGATCCGAGAGTCCAATTATATGATTCTGATTCCTCGACACTGGAAATTTTTGATCAAACTTTATAAAAAGTCATGATTTTCCCCAATAGCTATTTCCTTAAGCAAGAATTAAATTCATCAGTTTTTAGTTACCTGTTATTTGCTAATATAACAGCAACTTTCCTCCCCTATTTCACTGACCACAATCATTTTAGAATCATTGAAATCACTCGGAATCAACAGACTCATGGAATCACGGAATCAGCCCTCTTTCCGATTGTGACAACGCCAACAACCAAAATTTTTAAAATTTGGATACAATAATTGTACACCGTTTGAAACTGAAAACAAACATCACTACTCGATTCAGTATGGCTGATTGTCCCTCTTCTGATCTATTTGTTACTCAATTCACAATCAAGGGTCTCTGGAAAATCCGTATAAGTCTTGAACTGTGCAAGTTAAATTTCTCGAATTCATAATTCAAAAGAGAACAATTTTCCCTATCGAATACATCATTTAAAACTTAAAAACATACAACATTACATCTCTAAAAACCATGATAATTTTCTAAAGATCCACTTGAAAATCTTTTAGAGACTCGATCGACATATGCTTTTCTGTTATAGATCAATGCGCGCAAGTCTTGACGACAAGCTGATGAATACCATTTCACAATATCGTCTTCACGTTTGCGTGTTATTTAAGTTACCAATAGTTGTTTTCTATTGAGAAAGTATACAATAGTTGTAATACTATTACTGGAATCTATGATAAAATTGGAGATATATCAACTGCATTTTTACATTATAAAAAATGATCTGCCCTTGATTAAAGATCTTTTCCATCTAATCATCCATCATCATCAATCACTCATTAAAATATCATAAATTTTTTAGAAAATCTTTATCGATATAACGAAAGTATTGAAGACACTAAATGATTTGTTAATTTTTTTTTTTGTCATACATTTTGTTCTAATCATTCATAAAAACAAATGTATCAACATTATCTCAATTAATTACAAGAAAAAATTTTATTTACTTAAAATACATCATTTACAAAACAAAAACGTATTCGGTCTTTTTTATTCTAATATTCAAGAGGATCAACAACATAATCCAAATGAACAAAAGCTCTTTCAATTTCAGGTATATTTTCTAATTTATTTTTTAATCCATCACCAATATCATGGGCTTCTTTAAGTGACATTGTTTCAGGCAAAATAACTTCAACTTCAACTAAAAATGATGTACCAAAATGAAATGCACGAACAGTATCAATTTTTTGTATCAAAGGTGAATGTTGTAATGTAAGCCATGTAATTTTTTGTAAAAATTCAGGTTCAGCTTTATAACCACTTAAATTTCGTACTTGTTCACGAAGTTGTTTTAACCAACAAAATATTATATAAAGTGATATAAGAATAGCACCAATTGGATCAATGACAACAATTTCTTGTACTTTTATTGAACCATTAAGAGCTTTGGAAGCTAAAAAAAACAACATTTTTTAATTAAAAATCGATATTTATAAATACGGTGGCTTGCTTACCAATAATGCCACATACAAGTGCGATTATATTTGAGAAAACATCATTTCGATGATCTTGTGCAACAGCATACATTGTTGGATTTGATATTTGATAACAAAGAAACGATAGAACCGCTTTACAAACTAAAACACAATCATAAAATTGTAAATAGATAAACAGATTTATATATACCAATTGTAACACCCATAACAGTGATAGGTGCTGGTCCCATATCAATGTGACGTAAATCTGTTGAATTTTTTGTAAAATGATTTATATCATTTACTAATGATTCTACTGATTCATAAATAACTTGAACCGATGCTGAAACCATAATAACCGATAGAATTACAATGATAATTGGTTCGAGACGAGTACGACCTGTGATATATAAATATTCATTTCTTTATATGAAACATGTTGAAATACTTACCTCCCGGATAAGTATAAGGATCACGATGTTTTATTACATAAACAACCCAACAAAGTAAACATGCTGAAGCTGAATCAACAGCAGAATCAATAACTGATGAAATGATTGAAAGAGAACGAGAATAGACCGCAGCTATTATTTTTGCAATTAACAATGTCTATAAATAAGAGTTGAAAATATTCATTAAATGTTAAGTTTTCTCACTTACGACATTGAATATTAATGTCGCTTTAATAAGCCATTCAGTATGTCGTTTTTGTTGGTTTAAATGTGTACCTTCTTTTTTAGACTCAAATGATGTTTGTTCATCAAGTTTTTTAAATGAATCAATAAGAGCATCTTGTTTTTTATAAAAACGTCGAACACGACTACTTAATTTTTCGTCTTCAGCTTGTTTTCCTAAACAAAAATATTAGTTTATGTTATGTTTCTTTGATTTACAAGAAAACCTTTTCAACTGATTTCTTTCGATTTCAATGATTTTTTGACTATAGATACTACATGATGTTCTAATAAAAACCCTAAAAGGATTTGAGTTCCAATTGAGATTTAACTAAGTTATCGAGTTTTTAATATGTCTATTTGTTAGAGGTCCCACATTTTCTGAAAACTCTTATTTTTGAAATTTCATCTCAAACTTTATGCATACAGAGAACTCAACTAAACTAGTTTCCCTAAAAAAATTCACAAGTTTTGAACAAAGCTTCTTCGACATAGGAAACTTTCAAGATACAAATCATTTTCCATAGATAGTGTATAAAATATGCATTTTTTTTAGAAATCTCCATATCTCGAAGAGATTCTCTTTAAAACTTGTGAATCTTTTTAATGAAAGCCAGCCTAGTTCAGTTCTCTGTATGCGTAAAGTTTCAAATGAAATTTCAAAAATACAAGTTTTTAGAAAACGTGAGACTTCTAGAAAATAGACATATTAAAAATTCGATAGTTTAGTCAAATTTCAATAGGATTTCAAATTCCTTTAGAGTTTTTATTCGAGCACTATGACGTGTCTATAGATAAAAACTCATTGACGTTGAAAGAAAACAACTGAAGAGGTTTCGTCGTTAGCATAGACTCACCGTGCCGTTTACTAGTAAGAGATTTCAATGAATATGGTTTATAATCTAATAGGAAGAAAAAGGAAAGAGTCATAGATCAAAGATCAAGAAAAAAGAAATATTCATACTTCCATCAGTATGTCGAAATTGAGTATTGATTGATGGTTGCTGATAAACATAACAAAGATCATTTGAATCACTGTAACTTCGTCTAACAAAAGCTACTGATGGCACAGTTAATTCAGATTGTTTCTGAATTGCACTCGATCGACGTGAAAGTGGATCGGAAGCTGGAACTGGTGGACCTGTTGAACTAGTACTTGACTGTTGTTTTGGATGTGTTCGTTCAAATTTTCGACTACGACGAATTCCTCCAGGACTGAAATAAATATTGTTCTCGTTATATGTTTTTACACTTAAATATTGATGACCCAGAGATACTGCTTTCATTTTGTTATTATTCTGGAATATGGATAGGTTTTGAATTAGAAACTATCTATATTAATGTCCATCGTATACAACAAAATTTGAGATGATTGCTTAAGAAAAAATAAATAAAGATAATGATCGGAGTTTTTTTTTTTGCTTGATAAACAAAGAGCCAAAAGAAAGAGAAATGATAAATTATGATTCAACGCTTGACTGAATCAAATAATACAATGAAACTCAAGCTATTATAAGTATATGTAACGATGTTAATATAGAATAATGTATCGTTGTAAGTATATTCATACTTTAGTTTCGTTTTGTCATCGTTCTTCGTTTCTAATTATATAAGCACTCTAACTGCGTCAGAAAGAACTTACTAGTGCAAATCTTAAGTCATGGAGTAGAATCATATTTAACAAGTAAAAGATAATGTAATATACAAAAAAACAACGAAAATTTGTATCAATATAGTCCTAGACAAAAGTAGTTACCCCGCATGAAGTCCTACTATTTTTTACGGTATTGAGCTGATATTTTGGATGCAGACATACAACAATAAACACTGATCGGTAACACTAACCCACTCTCCATCGGCTCATATGTATTGAAATTATGACTCACACATCTGCTTTTCCTACTGATAAACCTATTCAACAGAAATATACACTCAAAAAGTTTTTCTTTGTCAATTTGCTATTCGACAATCTACAATTGTTTTTTTTTCTAACGCTAAAGATAGTTCCATATGTCTACTTCATTAAACACCAAAGGTCGTGGCACATAGACAAGATCTTAGTAATCAGCATGCTTTGAGATAATGGACCCATATCGTAGCCCTAATTCGACTTCATTCAATGTTGCAGCTTTAAAACTTTCAGAATAAATTTGTCGTCTCGTGTGAACTTTCTACTAAAATTTTCAAAAGAATTAGTCAGAGTTATCGTGGGAAAAATCCATCATACTAAAAACTAGTATTTTCTCTTCAATAGACACTCTTAATGAGAAGACAATAACTCAGCTATTTCATAGTGATTTCTAATAAATTTCAGATTAAAAATAACTATGATAGTAGCCTTTCAAATGAGGGACTAAACGAAGATATTTATGCTAGCATCATTGAGATAAGGTAATCAGAAAAGAAAGATGATGGGTGAATCATAATTCTAATACATATGAATCAATGAAAAGTGGGTTAGTACCTGTGATCAGAGTTTATTGTCGCACGCATACATCCAAAATAACAGCTCAATATTATACAGAATAGTAATACTTCGCATGGGACAGCTACATTTATCCAGGAGTGTAGGTTTGATATGCGAGATATGTTTGAATAGAACGGAAATTAGTTTTTGGACGATGTTTGGCATTAACCAGAAAAGAATGAATTTCTACGATGTTTCTGAGTGGAGAATCATGGGTAGACGTTTCAGCAATTACTTTTGCATCATAAATTAGTGAAGCTAGACGTTTTTCTCTAGATTATCTTTATTTCAATTGGAGGTTGACCATATTAAAAAATAAAGATATTGAATAGATAGCATTAACCCTTTGATTACGAGTTTTTTTTAAGATGGATTTTGCTCTTGTCATTCCAAAACAGTCTGTAATATATTTTATTAGCGTATAGAAGCATTCAGAAATATTTTAGAGTCTGATAATCTTCAAAACAACCTATCACACAAGGTTTAATGTCACAAACATCACACTGATAACGCGTATCGGTACGCTTTTTCTCACGTCCGCTTGTATGACTACAGACTATACAAGATCTTTGTGCAACTTTTCCTGTTGCCGTTGGTGGAACTAGAGATGGATGTGGGCGTGGGCGCGGATATGTTTGAGGGTGGGTGCGTTGTTCCTAAATAAAACATACACACATCCATACCCATACCCACATAAATACACACGTAGCTATACAGGACGATGCAATAATGCTATCAAGATAAGAGAAAAAGAGAGGAGTCTTTTCGATGGGGTTTAAATAATATTCTAATAATGATAATATGTGCAAAAGTTCAACACACATATATGCGTACCCGTAACCAAAGGGTTAAGAAAATATTTGGTTTATTTTAAATCGAAAACAGAAATTGACATGAATAAAGTAAAACAAAATTACAAAACAGTATTTGATGTTCTTTTTCAAATATTGCTTCCTCATTTAGAATACAAAAAAAGAAAAACAATGGGTAAATCGTTTGTTCGCTGAAATTATACATACTAAGAAATGAACTCATATTAATTCTTTATTTTGTGAAATTTGATTTGTGATTTCTCGAATTATTTCCATTACTATCTTTCGATGTTCATTTCTATCAGTATTAAAAATAAATGTTGATACAAATAATGAATGTTCTGAAAGAATTATAACAAATAATGATTTACAAACATGTTTTAAACAAAGATGCTCTGATTTTACAGATCCATCGAGAATAATTAATATACTTATTTAGATGATAGATTATGTTATATGCATTATCTTCAACTAACTTTTGTAAATTATTATCTATTACTTGTTTTTATTGAGTTACAAGAATCAAATAACTGTTCACTTGAAAATTTCTTTACTGATCAAGATCCAAAATAATATATACTGCAGATGAGAATATATCTCTGATTAAATTTAATAAATCCGAGGATGAGAATGAGCAGGAGAAATGTAAATGGCAGAGATGAAACTAATCTGAGTCAGCCAGACTAGATCTGTCGATCTAAAATTCGTACCGATACTGATTTCCTCTATGGGATCGCTCAACTAGTTAAAGCGTATGCACTTTGAAAGTAAAAGACGATTATGTTCATTTATTGTTTATATATAAATTGACTGATTTAAGTTGAACAAGTATTTCAAATAGAAGCAAGAATAAAAACAGGAAATATAGTAACCGACCAGTCATCGATATTGGTTTCATCTTTGATCAATGAAGACGATGATCAGTGGCAATCACATAGATTTTATATAGGGTTGATTATTGTTAATTGTTTAACAATTAGAGTCGTAGAGAAGTTAGATCAAAATATCTATATATCTATCGTAACTATTCTGAGATCTAGTTTGGCTCGCCATAAGAAGATACTGTAGAATTTGAGTTTTTTTCTTTATCTCAATCATTTTGTGATTTATTTATATACTCTTTTTTATATATACAATATATTTGTATTCATTTTGGTAATCAATAAATAAAATAAGTTTCATTATTTAAAATCTTAAGGGGGGCCCCCCCCCCCCTTAGAAAATCGAATTTTTCAAGGGAATATCGAAGTTGAGTTTTTATCACAGGAAGATGCGGCGAAGCTTCCTCTTTCAGAACATATATAGCTTTTTGGAAAATGACCGGATTTTCAAAGACTTATCATATAAAACTTTGACTCTACTACCATATTTTCGGAGAAATTTTCAGGTGTTTCAGTTTTGAAAAAACTGCGTTGTCACTTGCATTAGCATTGAGTAGAACACTTTTATATTACCCAACATGTCAGATGGCGTTAGTTACCTTCATCTCTTACGTAGTCTAAAACGATCCACGGGAATGAATTAATAATATACCATTGTAATATGATTTTTTCTGGATTTGAATGAAAAAAATCCAGTTCTAAAATTTCTTTAGCGTTTTTCTCAAAATACGGTTTCCAGACAGAAAAATTGAAATAACTCCATCCTGTCTCAAGCTATAACTAATAATTTTTTTTTGTTTTAAAGGTCTTGATTAGAGCTAACTTTTCATCGGACGGATTTTTAATATTGAACCCCAGGGCTGAGAAAAGTGGAATTTACTGTCGTCGAACCACACTTTTTTATGCTTATTTTGCAGACATGCCCACAAAATCGCTCGTAAAAAATGAATGGAAGGGACTTTCAAAATTCCGTCCGATGAAAAGTTGCGTACAGAGGCTAGCTACAATTTGAAATCTACCCGAGCTCTGTATCCCTTCTCTGGACGGAGTTATTTCGATTCTTCTGAAAGGTAGGAAAACCAATCAAAACTGCGATTTAGTCGGACATGTGAAGCTGAAATTTTTATCATAAGCGTTTCTCACTAAGACCAATCATCCCTGAAAATTTCAGCCCAAACGAAGGGTCCCAAGTGGGACTTCATTTCTAAGGGGGGGGGGGGGGGGCCCTTAACACAATAGTGAAGAATCGGAAAAAACAACCATTAGAAATCAACAACTTTGGGACAAAAAAAAAGAAATAATACTGGTCGTTATCGATATCAACAAAGAAGTCTATTTGCAAGAGAAACTATGAGAAGGTAAAAGAATAATTCGAATAAGACTGACACTCATGTTGGTACCGTTGTATTCATTGTAGGTTCACATGAACTCATACGCGAATTTTTTGCCTTTGAAACCAATTGATAAAATTTGACAAGAATCTCGAACATCAATAGCAAACTCTAAGAATTAGGAAAGAAAAATTCTTCGAAAAAATAAATATGAAAGTACTGAGAAATAAAACTGATAAACTGAGTATGTGTGATATCTATAATAACTACGAAGGATTACATGGCACTAATCTTCATACGATTAATATTTGATTTTTAATCTTCAATTTTGACTTCAGCTGATTTTCAATTTTTTTTTAATTGATCTAATCGAATAATTAATTTTAGTTGATTAAAATCTTTAAATCTTTTTTTTATCGATTCAATAGATTCAAAATCAATCTTGACAGTAAGATTGAATCTAAGTTTAAGCCTAAAAAAAAATCTAATTAGGCGAAAATAGCTTCATTTTATTCGTTTTTCATCGTAGTTCTCGACGTGTTTTATAATGGTCGACCAGTATTGATCTATTACCCTTCGATCATTTGATAGCTTCTTCAGATACGTTTTATCGAGATAGAATTTAGGTTTATCACGTGATACACTTTTTCCTCCATTCATCTTTAACAGTACTTTTTATTTTAAATTACTACAGTTGAATCAAATTACTATACAATAATTAAAGTAACAGTGTTACCTTTTCTACTGTAATCACAAATGATTGAAGGTATTGGAAAAAAATGCAGTTTTGTCTTC